TATATGTACCTGATATATCATGTACATGTATTTACAAGTGTACTCTACAGTACATGTACTGTATAGCAGGTAAATTTGGAGGGGCTAAATTTTGGTGATTGGTGAATTTTAATTTGGCAAATTTGTGGCCACGTGCCATTGAGCATGTGTACAATGGCTCAAATTGGCAGATTTTTATCTTGGTGAATGGCTATCAATTTGCCAATTTTAATCCCCTCCAAAATTTCCCACTATACAGTACAATGCATGAAATTTTATACTTGCATATTTCTATGTGAAAATGTCTTTGTTGTCTTCTTTGTTTTATCTGTTTAACAATCATCTTTCCCCTTTTCTATTTTTCTCCAGGTTGTTGGTCTTAATTTCTCCTCAGCTACTACTCCCAAGTTATTATTAAAGATGTTTGATCATTACTGTGAGTACAAGAGGACTCCCAATGGAGTCATGATGGCTCCGGCTCATCTCAGAAAGTGGCTGGTTCTTTTCTGTGACAAGATTAACCTTCCAGACTTTGACGAATATGGTATGGAATATTGATTTTACAATAAAATTATTAAATATAAAGTTGTAACAAGAATTTGATGGCTTATGTGAATCCATTCAATCCAAATACACTTTAGAGAGATGTCACTGTCTTTTTTGATAATTCATTTAAAAGTTATTTTTTTCTAATTAAACGTACACAGAGAGTTCATGTATAATCGTTCTTACATCGGATTGTCAAGCACGGTGGATTTTACAGGACCTCCGACCACACGTGGGTGACAATAGAGAGGATACAGTTTGTAGGAGCATGTAACCCACCAACCGACCCAGGGAGGAAACCACTGTCACACAGGTACAGTATGCTATAGTGGGCATTGAATGCTGAATATTTGGGAGGGATACATGTTTGTATTACATTATACCATATAGCGCTTTAATTAGGCAGGTTTTATTTTGGCAATTGGCAGTTTGCAAGGTGAATCCCCAATATCAAAACCGCCAATCATTAATGCGCATGCTCAGTAATGCACGTGTACACAAAAATTGCCAAATTAAAAACTGCCAATTATAATTTTACAGCAAAGTTGCCAAGTTAAAGTGCTATATGGTATTTACTGGCAGTATGGTGCTGTTGTAATGATACTGTGTAGTTTTATTGTTTGACTATGTTGTGGTTGGCATTGTACAATATACATCTTTTTTTGAAAGTGGTAGATGTTTGTTTGTACAATGTTATAATTGGCAATTATAATCACGCTGTTTGACTGCATCGTTTGTACATGTTTGTGTCGATGATAATTACAAATCGTTGAAATTAAATAATTAATCATTTCAAATAATTATTATTGTCACATACATGTACATATGTA